TGGAAGTCTGTCCTTGTGTCTTGCTTAAGTGTTTTCTCATTTTAATTTTTGTTGTCGGACTGTCCTTGGTCTAATCTCTGGATTATCACCCAAATCTTCCTGATATAGTTGCACGCTAGCTTCTGTGTCTCTAACGACCCACAGACATTCTCATCTTCATAACATCAGAGAAAACAGCTCATCAAGTCTATGGCAATGCTTTACCCCAACTGATACAATCAGCACACATTGAGATCAAGCACAACTTGGACACTGACCACCTGTGGTAGTCACTAGTCTATCACCCTTAAATCATTTGAATTAAATTGAAACCAAGAAGCAGTCCAGAACATGTCTGCAGTGAACAAACTTTTCAATATAGTATATTTACCATTTAATGGCTCAGACAGAGCGAGGATGCAAGACCCCTGATCTCAGTTAGCTGATTGCTGAACCCCATGACGCTGACTGACCTCGGGCTGCAAGGCCCAGATTGAGTTCCCCATCCTTCTGAATGGTTGAACTCCGCAACGTTCTATTACAGGTTTCCCATGCCCTTTCTTTAAAGATGTTCAAAGTTGGGAACTCAGAAAAATACCCTTGATGACCACCTCTGTCTTTGCAGAGTGGGTCCAAAGACTTGCACAGTCAGGAGGTCTGGCGGGGGGCTTATGGGGGTTCAGGGGTGCCTGTGCGGCTACCTTCCCGGCGCTTGAGCGATGGCTGCTTGGTCGGGAGCAGGCGTGGTTCCTCTGATGTATATTTCTATAACTTTGTATAACACACAGATTTGATTTATGTATTAAATATATATAGTACCATTAGTTCCCGGAACCCAGAAGTAATTCATCTAGAGAGTTTTATTCTTACTAAAAATTTTATTAGTGGAAATATAGTGCATCTTTCTTCACAATCTGAGAGGTGTACTTTTAAAATATAGCTTCCATTTTACTTTATAATTAATTTGTTATGATGTTATCTAAGTATAATAATAATAATATAATACAATAATTTCCATTATTGAGTTAGGTTCTAAACTGGTTTTTATGAGGATACTATCTAAAATATACTATATGGAATTATAAAGCACAAAATGTTTTTTTAAATCCAGTATAAAAAAAACACATTCTTAAACTGGGTATAGTGGTGCAAGCCTGTACTCCTGGCATTTGGGAGGCTGAAGCAGGAGGATCACAAGTTGGAGGCTGGTCTGGGCTACCTAGTGAGTTAAAGTCCAACCTGAATTACAGAGCAAGACTTAAAAAAACCAAACAACTGAACTAATAAATAAAAACAAACAAACACATTCTTCTCTTACTTGCAAATATTGGGATCAGAAATTACTAACAAGGCAGACCTTTGAATGGTATCAGGAGGACTGACACACAGGTATAAGAGTGGAAAGCAACACAGAATAAGTACTGAATTCTTCCTGGATGAGGCAGTGTAAAATTTGTACAAAGACCAGGAGGACATTTAAAAAAAATGTTGTTTCTTTTTTTCTTCTAAACTCCTTCCTCTAGCTGTAATGGTAGATGCAGTCTTGGACAAGATTTATAGCTGGGCGTGCCTGATACATGCTTTTAATTTCAGTACTTTAAGCGGAGACAGGAGGATTTTTTAAGTTCAAGGCCAGCCTGTGCTACATAGTACAAGGCTAGTCTGAACTAAATGGTAAGACCCTGTCTCAAAAAAAAAGATTTATAGAGCCCATTTATGCGGACATATGCTACAGCTAGAACTTAACTAGTTATTTGGTCCAAAGTTAGAAAATGTAAACTTCATTCTGCAAGATTATGCACTTAGTACTAAAAGATAACAAAATAACTTTTAGCTCAGACCTTACGTCTTTAAAATAACAAATACTTATGGTTTAGAAAATAACCACTACTCGCAAGGGCAAGGACAGGAGTTTGAGCCCCGGTACAGAAAGAAAGAAAGAAAGGGAAAGGGAAGAAGAAAGAAAGAAAGAAAATGACTACTAATGTTTACTAGGACTAGAGATAATATTTTGTTGTATTTTATTATCTAAATTTTTGTCGTTGTTGTTGTTGTTACCAGGGATCGAACTTGGGACCTTTCACTTGTGAGGCAGGCAGCAGAACCACTAAGCTAAATCTCCAGTCCTAATTATCTAAATTTGACAAACCATGGCCCAGTAATTATTTTATGTTGAAAAATTGATTTTCAAAGCATTGGCATCAATAGGGGCTGTAAAAGAAGCTAGAAAATTTCAAAGCTTAGATCTCTTCATATGTGGGTTTGTTTTTGTTTTGGTGGTGGTGGTGGTGGCATTGGGGATCAAACATGGGACCTTGAGCTTGCGAGGCAGGCAGCAGAACCACTGAGCTAAGTCCCCGGCCCATTGTGTGATTATTTATGGCCATGTTTGAATTTACCATTGAGCCTGGTAGAAATGAATGTTAACATGTTTTGTTGTTGTTGTTGTTTTTCCTGCCTTGGTACCAGGGATCAAACTCAGAACCTTGCACTCTTGAGACAGGCACTGCCACTGAGCTAAATCCCTGGCCCTATGTTTGCTTGCCTTTTTTTATTTTAATTGGTACTGGGGATCGAACTCAAGTCCTTGCGCTTGTAAAGGCGGGCATCGGAACCAATGAGCTAAATCCCTGGCCCTGCTTCTTCTTCTTTTTTTTTTAAATAAGGCTTTACTTGTACCCTTGGCTCTATAGAATATAGTTACTTGTCTTTCCCTTTATGGTGCCTCTGTAGCATAATAGTGATTTCACAATATTTCCAGTGGACATTATAGTTTATGGTAGTAAAGAAGCAAATGTGGGAGTTTAATCTAAAAATGATTGAGAAAATGAAAATCCATTTGGTTAGTGAATTGTTCTCTAAAGACTACTTACTAGGAGTTCATGTTAAAAATGCTGATTTCCAATATTACATCAAGGGATCATTTCTGGTATATAAATCATAAATCTAGAGTTTTGTAACAGATAGTTTTGAGGGACCAACTCCTATGGGCCAATATACACAGAATTGATGGAGTTAACTTTAAATTGAAACTGGCAAATGATATTCAAGAAAGAGGAATTAAGAGATTATTGAAATGCTTTTTAGTTTTATAACAGAGGGACTATTGGCTCTTTCGTTTTAAGCTACAGTTTGTGTCTTTTTACTATCATCACAGAATATTAAGATTACTTGTGTTTAGTGGAACTCTTGCTCAGTACTTGAGTGTGTCCATACTTTTAAATTGGAAGAAAACTATGAATAAGACTTGGAAGTACTTGGGAATATGGTTGGTTTTAGACAGTTCTTTCCTTTATTCTTGCAGGAGGCTTTCCTGGGGGAACGCCTGGTAATTTTCCAGGAGGGATGCCTGGAATGGGAGCAGGCATGGCAGGAATGCCTGGGCTCAATGAGATTCTTAGTGATCCAGAGGTTCTTGCAGCCATGCAGGTAAGACTGAAGAAGAGAGTCAGACTTTAATCACTTGAGGGATGTCTTTTAGATTTGTGTTAGGACAGAAATCACTCGCTTAGCCATTTTTTAATTTATCTAAGTTACCAAATAGCTGGTTTTGTTAGTGTAACATTCATTTCCTTTATGGATTGAGTAGGTTAAGTTTTTAAGAATTGGTTTTAGGATATAGTAGTATGGTAATTATATCCATTTGTTCATTTTTGTTATTAGTATTGTGCTTTCTTTATCTAAGTCAAGTGAGTTTGACTTTGAGAAGTGCCCATTAATAGTTACAGTTGGAAGCTGGGTGTGGTGGCGCATACCTATAATCCCAGCACTCGGGAGGCTGAGGCAGGAGGATTGCTGAGAGTTTGAGACTAGCCTGGACTACATAGTGAGTTCCAGGTCAGTCTCAACTACACAGTGAGACCCTGTTTCAAAAAACCAAAAAAAAAAAAAAAGTTACAGTTGGAGACTATATTCTAGTTAATTTTACTCTGACAAAATTATAAGTCTTAAGGAGATTGGATATCAGGTACTAAACTTATTAATACAATGAGACACCTTTTTTTTTTTTTAAGTAAAGGGGTAGACAAACCCCATCTGGGACACTTTTTAAAAACTAAAAAAAAAAAAAATGATTTCTTTGCAGGATCCAGAAGTTATGGTGGCCTTCCAGGATGTGGCCCAGAATCCTGCAAATATGTCAAAATATCAGAGTAATCCAAAGGTTATGAATCTCATCAGTAAATTATCAGCCAAATTTGGAGGTCAAGCGTAATGATCATCTGACAGAGTCCTTTCTGAAAGAAAAACAACCTAGATCACTTAATGGATGTGGCAATAATACAAACCAGTGTACCTCTGACCTCATCAGGAGAGCTGGAGTGCTTTGAAGATAATCCCTGCCCCTCTGCACCAAATGCAGCTGAAGCATTTTACAATGGTTTGCCATTAGGGTATTCATTCAGATAATGTTTTCTTACTAGGAATTACAAAACTTAAACACTTTTTAAACCTTAAATTCAAAGGGTCTATTAATCCCTACATTTTTCTTTATTAATCATTTTAGATTTTTTTCTTTGAATTATTGGGCAAGGAAGATAAGTGGGAGATTTATGGCTCTACTGTGAGTGAAAAAGTTTTTGGTGGGAAGCAAATCTCATTTAAGTAGATAAAAGTTTGAGTTGGATATAATGCTTTACTAAGGCATTTTGATTTGTCTTTTTAAAGGTTTTTCTTTTTTTCTTTTTTTTTTTTTTGAAGCTGATTCATTTCAGTATAACTATTGGGACCACCAGTATTTGAATATGATCTGGATAGGGACTGGAAGTACTGGTCGGGCAGCAGCAGTCTTATACAATATTTTATAGAATATGTACCCTTGTACAGTTTGCATTTAAATCTTACACTGTGCTAAAGGGGTGATCTTTTTTTTTTAAAGCCACAGAAGAGTTGTGTTACTTAGCTCTGTTCTTGTCCAAAATATCAAATAAATGTTTCATATTATTTCCACTTGGGGACATATGGGAGTATGTTTCTTTTTATATATCTGTTTAAAAAATAACTTTCATCATCAGAAAATGACCAATTTTGTTTGCTTTCTGTTTGTATTTTCTCCTCTAATCTTGAGCTAAAGGTTAATGTTTTTTCCACTAGTGTCATCACTGTTAGCACCATTCCCAGTATAATTGTACAAGCATATTTAATGCTGGGTTTAATTTGTAGTATATGTCAGGTAACACCCAAAACAGGTATAGTTTCTTGGCCTTGAAATTGCTTATTTGCCATACTTCAGTCTGGAAAAAGCTTCTTAAATCAAGATATTCAAAGGAGAAATTCCTTTTGGCATTTGATCTTCAACTTAGGAAATACATATTATAGGTACAGTTTATCCTATAGTATCCATCTTTGTATTTGAAGAGCATATGATTCAGTTAGTTGATATACATATAGGAAGTAATTGTTTGATGCAATATAAATTAAAAGATGAAAGCCACAGTTTTTTGCTACAGAGTTGTTGGCACTATGAAGATTCCTCTTCCTAGTTGGGTTCTTTCTTAAATACTGCAAACTACACCCACATCTGCTCTCACCCTCCTTCCTCTGCAGGAATAAAGCATATGATAAATTTCATAATGTACATTCCCAAATTACTACATTTCTGAAATCATGTTTATTCAGGTTCTAACCCTTTGCTGTACACAAGAGGAGAAATTCACCTGTTACATAAATGAGGAAAAGTTGTGTGCTAATAGAGCATGCTTTCACAATCTTTAGGAACAGCCACCATATATATACTTGCAGTTGAGCTTGCCAGTGTTCTTTTTGTTCACGTGTGTTCTGTTTTCTTAAAATCTTCACTGTGTGCTGTGCTTAACTTGGTAAGACCACTTTGTTCTTGGACTCTACTATATATGCTCTAACTATATTGACACTGCAAATACCACCATAAACGGGTAAATGTGAAATTGCTCTTCTGAAAATTGTCCTGTGCTTCTCTACTTTCAAATTCCTAAAATACAAAATACAGTCTTCAGAAAGATTCAGTATCATTTCTAAAACAATGCTTTTTTGTGCTCATGATACTATAAGGAAAACAAAACGTTTTCTGCTTAAAAATATAGTTATTGGATATTTCTAGCTACATTAAGAATAAAATATGGTTTCACACTGGATATTGACTCCCCCCTTTTGTAAGCATTTATTCTATTTTATATCCCAAGGATTCACCTGAAGTTATTTGCTGAGCATAGTATTCATACTTTTTTTCTTTAATACCAGGAGTCAAACTTGGGACCTTTCGCTTGCATGGCAGGCACTGGAACCACTGAGCTAAATCCCTGGCCATTTTCTGAGTATAGTAAGCTATAGATTATTAAGGTTGTGAATGAGAACACCTGAAGATACATTTACCTAATTTGTATAGGGGTGCACTTTGCCTTTTCTTTGATGTGTGTGTGTGCACACATGTGTGCGTGCACGTGCACACTGGCTGTTCAACCCAGAGCCTCACACTGGTAAGCACAGTGCCTACTACTGAGCTGTACATCCCCAGTCCTTTTTATGTTAAGGTCTTGCTGGGTTGCCCAGTGTGGCTGGCCCCAAACTTGATCTTCTTTCAAGCACCTAGGATGATGGGTATGTACTGTCAAGCCAGTAGCTGCCCAGAGGTCAGTAGTTGTGCCGTATTTGACTAGTAGTTTCTTTTTAACTTGAAGAAACTGAGAAGTCAGGGAAACATTACTGAGGCCTGAAGAAAATATGGAATTAACTTTTTCTTAAGGCCATATTTAGCCTCAAGGAAAGATGGAAGATAATAGCTGTGTGGTTACATGTCCAAAAAGACTTGTGGTATCAATTTAGCAATCTACCACACTAGGAAATACTAGCTTTGTAAGGTAAAGCTAGAAATAGGCTAGTACTATTCTTGGAGTGCTTGCCTTTGCCAGCCACTGCTGTAACCAGTTTGCTAATACTCAATTCTGATACTATAAGGGTAAATACTTTTATTACCACTTTACCATTTCAATGATGAGGAAACTGAACCACTTGTGTAAATTGCCTAGATGAGGGGTCTCCAACCTTCGGAACCAGCTGCACAGGAGGAGCTAAGCACAGGTGAGTGAAGCTGTGTTATACAGCTTGCCCCATTCCTTGCACTGCCTCCTGTCCTGTCAGTGGTGACCTTAGATTCTTATAGGAGTGTGGCTGGCCCTTGCTCTGAACAGCTAATTTGAAGGATGTAGGTTGTGTGCTTTTAGAATCTAATGCTTGATAACTAGAGATGTAGTTGAGGTGGTGATTCTAGTACTGGAGAGCATCTGCAAATACAGAGGGACAACATGTTTGATTACACAGAGACCGTAATTTCTTACATACTTGTATCAAAACACTACTAATGGCGACAAGCTGTATATGGTTACAGGCTTTGTAGGGCCAAGTGGGTTGATGTACTTCAATTATACAGCTACATCTGGTGGCAGGCCTTAAGTTAGAATATGATACTTTGGCCATTATTTACAACGTTTGTCTTTTTTTTTTTTTAAACTGGGGATCAAACTCAGTACCTTGCGCTTGCGAGGCAGGCAGCAGTGCCACTGAGCTAGGTCCCTGGCCCAACTTTGTCCTATCTTTACTACCCTGCACCCTTGGCTAAGTCTTTCAGTTTTAGTAAGTCCAAGACTAACCCTACGTAAGATGAGTAAAATCACTGGAGAGATTGAAGAGGAGAAAAGGCCCAGTGATGAGAGCAGAAAATTCTAGGACTGCTACATTACATACTCCTTGTAAAAGGTCATTCATTGTCCAAGGTTACTTTGTGTGTGGTTTTCTTTTTTGTACTGTGGATCTAACTTGGGACCTTGGGCTCCCAAGGCAAACAGCAGAACCTAAATCCTGGGCCCTCTAAGGCTACTTTGTATATAACATGTAGTAACTGGCTATCCAATGAGACATGAAACCTTCAGAACTTCTTACCACGTGGAGTCCATGCACCCTGCCTTACAAGACAAGCCTTTGGAGTTTTTCAAAAGGAAAAAATTAAGGCCACCACTTAAAATGCGGGTTCACTGAAAGCATCATTTTTGGTGGCTGACCGTTGCTAAAGCTAAGAAGCCTCTTACTGGTGAAGAGTTGATCCTGCTTGCTAAGGACATCACGAACTTTTAGGACACGCTGATTCAAAAGGTGGCATGTATTTCTTTTGGCTAGCACCATAATTAGGCGAGTTGATGAAATAGGTGATACTGAGGCATGAGGTAGAATATCCTGAGATTGCCTCTAAAGCATTGAAAAGCCTGTTTCTATTTCCAACGTCCTATTTTTGTGAAGCTGGGTTCTTTACAGTAACAGCAACCAAAATGATTATAAACTAGAATGGACATAAGCAACACACTGATTCTGCATTACTGTGAGTTGTATAATTATTTCAGTATATGTTCTACGTCCACGATAAATGTAATGTGCTCTAATCATTCTGAGACTATTCCTCCCTTATCTGTTGAAAAACACTCCCATGAAGGCGCCGGGTGTGGTGGTGCACGCCTGTAATCCCAGCACTCGGGAGGCTCAGGCAGGAGGATCGCTGTGCGCTCGAGACCAGCCTGAGCTACACAGTGAGTTCCAGGTCAGTCTCAATTACATAGTGAGACCCTGTCTCAAAAAACCAAAAGAAAAAAAGAAAAGAAAAACACTCCCATGAAACCGAGCCATGGTGCCAGAAGGTTAGGCAGAAGGTTAGGCACTGCAGCCTGGATACGTAGCTATAGCTCTTTATTACCTGGGATTCTCAAATACTCAGACTTGTAACTTCAGAGGTCTTCTTCCTAAACTATACTCTGCTGTCCCTCTATGTGCAAGTTTGATTCTTAGAGAATTGTTAATTTGGAAATTTGAGCTTGGTTAAATAACATCATTGCGTGTGTTGATGTGTATATCCAGCAGCACTTTCTCTGAACAGTAAGAGACACAGCACGATTGAAGTGCTCAGTGCACTCATGACGGACCCAGAATTAAAGGAGATGAAAAGAAAGCTTCCAGTATAGCAATTCTAAATAGTTGATTCATGTGCCAATATTTATAACCAACGTAGTAAATGAGCAACAAATACAAATAACAGTAGCTATTAAGCTTTAAAAACAACAGTATGTCCAGTCAACTTGCCAAGTTGAAAGTTTCAGCGGTAACTCAGTGAAACCTTTTGTCATGGTGGAAGTTTAGTTTCACAATTTTTTTCCTGACATCAGCAATTTTATTTCGTGTATGCTAGATTATAAATACATAACTATATCCTTATCACAGGTAGTCTTTTTACATAACATTTGTGGCTGACATACAACGAAAATCTGTAAGGTAGCAAAAAAAGCAAGGATATAGGAAAATAATACATTTTATATAAATTATAAAGGACAGTTATAATGAAAATTCATTACTTTCAATTTTACAAAGTCAACAGCTGTAGGCTGTGAGCTACTAAGAACGCGCAAACACTAGCTTTCAAAAGACAGCAGTCAGATGACATTTTTGCGATGTCACATGCTGCTCGTTTCTTGAGTGGAGCTGCCCTTCGTAGTCTTCAGGTGGTAATTTGGCAAGATTTTCATCAAGAAATCCAGCTGTAGTGTCTGAGGCTGGGCCTGCTCAGTCTGCAACCGACAAAGGCAGTCTGCACCATAGATCACTATTCTTGGGGATAACTTCAAAAGTGTTTAGGCTCAACAAGTCCCGATGATGCAACCACTTGTCATTATTACATTTCTGCCTATATATGCTTTCGACTCAGTGACGTTATTATCTTCCATTTTCATGGCTTGGGAATAACAGCCAACTTCAAACACATTATTGGTCAGTGGTTCCACTGAATGCCTCGCAAGCACAAGGACCCGAGTTCAATCCCTGGTACCAAAAAAAAAATCTTTAGCTCCAAACACATTATTGGTGCCAATGATATGGGTTTGGGTTCGGGTGATACTGTCCGGGTAAGCATTTATGGTCAGGGCCTCTTCTATTAGATTTTCACCGATCACTATTGGCCAGGCTTCCGCAATAATTCGCGCTTTGGGGTGGACCATGTCCTAGGTCCTACAGTTACACCTCTGATTTAACTTTCTACACATACAACTGCTCCAGGAGCAATCTTCACACTCGTTTTGAGTCTTCTGTGCCATGGTACGCTCTGGTCTTTCAGGATTTTCTATAAGACTGTTTAGTAATTAGCTGCATTTTTTTTACATTCAATGAAATCTTCACATTAAAATTATAGTTTTAAATATTAGGGGAAGCAATAAATTGAGTTAGTAGAACTGTTGCTCTAGGAGTGTAGGGATCTGATACGTAGCTTACTCAGGTCACTAGGATATTTTCAGATTAAATAACTTGACCAACAGGGCAATATGGAAGCAACATAAATGAAATGGTCAGTACTAGCTAAGGTTTCTTTAATTGCTGATGTATACAGAATGGCCTGAAACTTTTACTACACTGTCAAGGAATTTGATGTTTATGCATAATTCCCAGTTCCTTCTTCCCTCCTGTTTCTTCTTTTTTTAATTTTGTTTTGTTTTTGGTACTGGAGATCGAACTCAGGACCTTGTGCTTTCAAGGCAGGACACGAACCACTGAGCTAAATCCCTGGCCCTGTTTTTGATTTTTGGTATTGGGGATTAAACTCAGGACCTTGCACTTGCAAGGCAAGTGGCGGAACCACTGAGTTAAATCCTTGGCCCTTGGGGTTTTTTTGTTTGGTTTTTTCTGAGACAGGGTCTTGCTGTGTATCCCAGGCTGGCCTCAAACTTGGGATGATCCTCTTGCCTTTCAGTGCTAGGGATTATAGGCATGTGCCCCCAGGTCTGGCCAATTCCAGTATATTTTTTTCCTGTCTGGTACATGTTTACAGTACATAATGATTGCATTCCTTGTGAGTAGATAAATGTACATAACACATCCTAATTCTTTTTTCAGGCCCTTCCCTGCCCCTTCCTCCCCAATCCTGTCAATAAAGGTATTGTATACACTGGTACTGAATCTTAGCTAGAGATAAGGACCATGGGCTGGGGATTTAGTTTAGTGGTTCCGGCGCCTGCCTCGGAAGTGCAAGGACCTGAGTCTGATCCCCAGTACCAAAAAAAAAAAAAGAAAAGAGACAAGGACCAGGGTGAAGGAGAGTTCGCATCCACGAGGAACTGTCAAACAGTGTCTTAAAATATGAACAAACTTAAAGGCTGAACACTTTCTAACATGGAAAACAAGTTTAGTATTTTTATAAAATGTCTACATAAATTAGCTTTGTAATCCTCACAGTGAGTGGAGATTGGTAACTGTAGTAGTACTAGGCTCCCATCTATTCAATTTGGTGTTGTGTTGCTTAAATTTTCCTCAAACAACATCCCAGGGATTTTCAGAAGGGAAAACCGTGCTCAGTCATGTTTCCTGTTGACCCAAATGTGACCTACAAGGCAGAAAAGATGGGCGGGTTGCGGTAGTGCCTGACTGTAGTCCAGGCTACTCCGGGATCTGAGGAGGGAGGATGGCGAGTTCCAGGCCAATCTGGCCAATTTAAGGTAAAAAAGGACTGGGGCTGTTATTCAGAGGTATCGCGCTTGCCTAGCAAGCGCAAGGCCTTGGGTTCCAACCCTAGGGCGGGGGTGAAAATGGAAATGAGGTGAGGTCGCAAGGAAAGGAAGACTGGAGACAACTTACTGAATCCATCTCAGCTGTCACCAGTACGTCCATTGGAGGGAAGTGGGGAAAGGACACAGGAACTTCTAAGGTCCTCATTGCAATAGTCGTTAAGTATGGACTACTGGCCAGGTCCTGGAATGTCAGCAAACTCCTGTCTCCTCCAGGACACGGAGTACTGGCACCGGTGCCATCAGATAGCTTGGCACCTTGGGTCCAGACTCCCGCCGACGCCACTTTGCCCCGCCACACGCACGCTCGGGGGCCAATCCGCGCCCGGGGGCGTTCCTAGGCGCAGCTCCTCTGATGGGCTACTGATAGCGCCCTGTGACCCGGAAGTGGTTCCTCTGGAGGTAGCCGGCGAGCCTGTGAGGGTGGAGCTTGTGTTCCCGCCCAGTTTCCTGATTCTCCTTCCTAACTCAGCTGGCAACTGCCTGTGAGAAAAGTGTGGCTAGTCTGTCGGGAAGCCGCATCAATGGCCTCCGTGCTGTCCTACGAAAGCTTGGTCCATGCAGTGGCAGGAGCCGTGGTGAGACGGGGTCTTTGCGCTTGGGCTGCAGCGGAGTGTGTGGCGTCCCGAGTCCAGTCTTGGGAGGCGGCTGGGGGTGGGCGTGAGAGGGGGAGTCCTGGGGTGAGGGCTGTCCTGACGAGGACTCAGAAGAAAGGGCCGTAGAAAGTTGAAGAATTTTGGTTGAGGGCCGACACTCACCTCGCGGCCTGGCCGCCGGTCTCCTAGAGACTACATAAAGACAGCGGTGGTTACACAAGCCCAAGAGGGAGTCGGGGAAAGAAAGCATTGCTATTTTCTTTGCCTTTTGAAGTTTAAAGTCAGTTATTCGTAACCACCCCCCGTACCCCTCCCCCTCCCCCCGCGCACACTAACTTCGCTAAACTGGACGGGGGGTGGACCTAAGTGTGAAACTGTTGCTCAACCATAAGCTGAATTACAGCTACTTCACACACTTGCTACAGTCAAGTTGTATCCAGTAGGAAATCTCTGGCTAGTGTTATGGGCAGAAAAGGGTCTTAAAAAAAAAAAAAATCGAGATCATTGTTACTCGCCAGCGCAGATGGGATCATTGTTAGGCATAGGCTTGATTTTTGGGTTTGTGGGTGTCTAGGATCTGTTTGACATCCCTTCCTTTTCCTTAAAGTTTTCTGTTTTTTGTCTTAACTTTCTTCTGGTTCGTCTCTTCTTACTGCTCTGTCTCATATGCTTCATTCTTAACAGCTGTTGGAGCCATTGTGACTTCAGAATAGCATCACTGAATCATCATGTTTTGGTTCCCCAAACTTCATTTGAGAGCTCATGTTCTGTGTAGACTAAATCTGAGTTGAACTTCAACTCCATCATTTGTTAGCTAAATGACCTGTGAAACTTTCCTAATCTGTAGATTGGAAGAAATTATACCTCCCTCATCTGGTTGTTTTGATAATTAGGTGATGGTATTTGACAAAAGTGTCTTTTTCAGGGAGCCCATTTCATTTGGTTCCCCAGGAAAGCCTTTGAGCCAGTGTAAAGGCATTGAGATGGAGGCTTGATTGACATTTTTCTGATGGTCATGGAGGCCTATGTGTCTTGACTGGAGTGAACAAAAATGAGAAAAGGTTTCACGAGACTAAATTGTGTGTGCCTTTAACTCAGAGTGGGAAAGAGCTAGCTGCTTAACTTGCTAATTTACATTTTAAACAGATCACCTTGCCTGCTCTGAGTATAAAGAAGCAAGGGACAATTGTCAGGCAAGAGATGGTTATGTCTTGGACTTGGATGTTAGTAGTAGAGGTGGTAAGAAATGATCATTAACCTGGAATATATTTGATAGAAACACCAGGGTTTGATGGTAGATTTTTTTTTTTTTTTTGGTACCGGGGATCGAACTCAGGTCCTTGTGCTTGCAAGGCAGGTGGAGGAAGCACTGAGCTAAATCCCCGGCCCTTTAAGATTAATTGTAGAATTATGTGGTCACTCAAAATAATATCTCATCTTGAGGAAAATTTATAAAATTTCCCATTTAATGAGGAAAAGTATCTTTATTATGAGTCAGAACCTCCTTTTGGCTCTGTACAAATTAATGTTTTTCATTCACTCTGTGTGATAGGGTTCTCCCTTGACCAGTGCACGGGTATTGATCAGGTCCTTGCACTTGCAAGGCAGGCCACCGAACCGCTGAGCTAAATCCCTGGCCCTTGGTGGTAGATTTAGTAGTGAATTACACATGAGTCGTACCAGAATGAAGGTTGGTTGACCCTGAGACTTTTTGGCTTGAGGGGTGGAAAAGATGATATTTCCTTTTATTGAGATGTTGAAGCCTGTAAAGGAGCAAGTTTGGGGAAAAGGATGAGCTTGGTTTTGGGTTTGGACTAGTTAAGTTTGAAGTGTCTTAGAATAGTCTTGAGACTAAATATTTAATTCAGCAGGGAAGTGAGCAGGGACTGAGAGAAAACTGTACCCCTGAAGTAGGCCAATATTAAGAGATTGGGGAGCCAGGTGTTGTAGTGCTTGCCTGTGATCCCAGCCTGTAATCCCAGCTCTGAGGAGGCTGAGGCAAGAGGATCACCCCAAGTTTAAGGCCAGCTTGGGCTACATAGTGAGGCTCTGTCTTAAAAAAAGAAAAAGGTTGGGGAAATAAAATCACCAAAACAAAGAAGACTAAGGAATGGCCTATGCAGTAGTAGGAAAACTGAGAGTGGTGTTCTGAAAGGCACATAAAGAAAGTGTTTAGGGAGAAGGGTGTAGAGTAGACCAACTGGTCAGATACTACTTATAGGGCAAGTAAAGTGAGGATAGAGAATTAGCTATTGAATTTATCAACATGGAGAAGTCCAGTTTTGGTGGAGTGGTAGGCTGAATGGTTTGAGAGTAACTAAAATCAAATGGGACATGGAAAATGCTTGTTCTCGTTTCCTTCTTACCTTAAATGCTGTTCATTCATTACTTTTATTGAATGCACTCCCAGTTCCATGGACTGTTATAGGTGCTAGGAATACAGTGGAGAGCAAGCTCCTTTCTTCATGAAGTGTGCATTCCCATTGGGAAGTCAGACAATAAATAAAAAATAAGGTTGGGCTGGGGATTTAGCTCAGTGGTTCTTCCATCTGCCTCACAAGCACAAGGTCCAAAGTTCGATCCCCGGTACCCCCCCAAAAAAGGTAATTTTAAATAGTAAGTGCTATAAAATAAATAGGGTTGGTGAACATTTTTCATAAGCACAAATATTTTAGGCCTTATGAATGGTTTCTGTCACAGTTTATTCAACGCTGCCTGGAATTGTGTAAGCAGCTGTAAACATTGTATAAATGAATAGGCAGAGCTGTGTTTCCATAAACCTCTATAAAAACAAGCAGTTTGTATGGAGCATAGTTTTCTGAGTCCTACTTTGTAGTGTGACTGTGGATAGAAGAGCTATATTTCAATCTACAAAAGCATTTTAGTTTTCTCTCCTATTGCTTATTTTTCTCTTGTTAAAGCACCACTTGAAATTATTTGCCCTCAGTTTGCTGAGTTTTTACCCCTATGTCACATGAGGTTATCAAACATATATACTTAATATTGTGTATTTATTTACTTTGTTTGAGACAAAGTTTCCCTGTGTGGTTCAGGCTATCCTTGAACTCACCACAGTCCTTCTGCCTCAGCCTCCCAAGTGCTGGGATTACAGGCTTGCACCACTATTCCTGGCTTCTAATATATATACTTTTGTAACAAGAATTTTTTTCTCTTTTTCTCAGGACAGTACTGTATTTAGTATGTATCTGAGTGAAAAGTTGTTTATGTTTGTATTATTTTTCTGGAAATGCTAGAGAATGAACCCATCATCGAGTTCAATCTTAGCCTGCTTTGTATTATTCTTTTGCACCATCACACTAAAGAGTGGTTCTCATACTCTTTGAAGGTTTCTGTAATAAGGTTAAAACACACAACAAATCTTACCTTCTTCTGGTTGTTACAAAAAGAAAAAAGAAAAATTTAACCACAAAATGTAACTATAATTAATGGGGAAACTAGTATTAGTGTTTAATGGTCGAGGATTATAGTGAAAGCTGACAATTAAACTTCCTGAACATAATGTTCAACCAAAGCTTAGAGATGGTCATGGAAAGTAAGTTTAGTATAGTTGGTTGAAAGCACTTAGGTGCCTTCCAGGAGCCAGGCAGCCTGAGTTAGAACCCCCACTTTGCCTCTGACTAGCAGTCTCTTCCTGGCTTTGTGACCCTGGTATAAACTACAGGGCTGCCTGGCTCCTGGAAGACACCTGGTATAATTGCTTCTTCCCAAAGGATTGTTGGATTATTGTTTAAGATGTTGATTTACAATCTTTTTTTTTTTCCCAATGCAGGAGATCAGACTTAGGACTTTGCTCTTCCAGGCAGGCACAGTGCCACTGAGCTGCATCCCTGGTGCTTTACAATCTTTTTGAATGGACATTTCAGGCTTATTTATTCATTTCCTTCCAAGTTCTACATTCTTGTACATTAAGTATGATGTTGTTCATATGTACACACCTTTTTCTTTTCTTTTCTTTTCTTTGGTTGTGTGGGATTGAATGCTGAGTTTGACACGTTAAGCACCCAGTCTATCACACGACTATGCCCTCCAGTGTAACTACACATTTTAGAAATTAAATTACTGGTTTTGAGGGTTTTTTGGCACCTTCTGGGATAACTGCAGATAATCTTGAGTATCTCAAAGCAATAATTATATTGCTTCAGGAAAATGTTTTATCTCCAGTTGATGACTATTGATACAGTCTGTGGTCTTGAATATAAAGAATTCTCCAAAATTCAAATATAATTAGATTTTTCATTGCCAAGGATTGAACTCAGGACCTTGTGCTTACCAGGCAGGTGGTGCCACTGAGCTAAATCCCTGGCCCTTAGACTTAAATTTTTATAGTTTTTATTCTCATTAAATTACTTTTTTTTTGGGTACTGGGGATTGAACTCAGGTCCTTGCACTTGCAAGGCAGGCTACTGAACTGCTGAGCTAAATCCCCAGCCCTCATTAAATTACTTTTGACAGAGTTTACCTGTAGATCTATACATTTGAGAATGAGAGTTTTTTTGTTGACTTTTTTGGGAAGAGAATTAGGGATGGAACCCAGGGGCTTTATGTGTTAGGCAAAGTATTACTGATCTATACCCCTAGTACCCAAAAGAGGTTTTCTTAGTCTAGAATTTGAAAAGTGCTCTCTGTTGAAATTTCCTAGAAAAGTTTAAACACTGAAATTATAGTTGAATTATGACTGAAATTTGCAGTTGTAATGCTAATGAGTAATCACAGTTTTCAGGGGACTTTTATTCTGATGTTTATTTAAATCTTACTGGATTCATTTATTATTTTATTTATTTATTTAGATAGGAGAATAGCCTCCCTTTGTTGCCGGGATTGGCCTTCAATTTGTGCTCTTCTTCCCTCAGACTCCTGAATAGCTGGGCCTGTAGGCATGTGCCACTAAACTGGGCTTTGTAATTTATATTTTAAAAATTACCTATCATTGGGGCCGGGGATTTGGCTCAGTGGTTCCACTG